TAACCACTACGCTACCAGAGCTCCTTATTCAATACATTGACCATACCTATTTTAAAACTCATTATTTTTATCAAAATGATCACTTTGTTCGCATTCATGTTTACTAAGATTTAAAACAGTATATATGACTATTGCTTCTTCACACCAACACCCTCCCTGGAAAAAAAATTGCACATTTTTTTAGCTTACATTTTGAATTATAAATTAAAACATGCAAGCCAGTCCCCCAGTCATTGAGTGTCTTCAAATTTACAGTGACTCAATAGGGCAGCGCAGAACTGCTCCCTAAGGTTTCTGAGGCTGTTAAGTCTTTATGGAAGCACATATGTCTCCGCTTTAGAATAGCAGGGTTCGAACTGCTGACCATGTGGTCTGTGGTCCAACTCATAACCTACAATACCACCATGAAACACCAGGGCTTCTTCTGAACTAAGTTAACTGAAATTAAACAGCTCACACTAAGAGGCTAATGGGACAGGGGGATCTTATATAAACAAGTATTAGTATCCGCCACAACCTAAAACACACAACAAAAAACAGAGCTCCAGAATGAAAATACTGGTATATTTCAATTTGTATAATGCAAAGAGAAATACAGATAGAAATCCTCAAAACGTAAGGTACATTAATAAAAATGAAGCATTGTAAGCAAAAAATATTATACAGTACTGGCAGAATTTAGTCTTTCCATTTAAGATTACAATGTGTCTAACAAAGAAACATGATTTTAAATTACAGTTCCGATTGACTTGAAATAATCATCATTAGAACAGCACAGCGTAACTTAGCAAACACTTTAAGGATATGTTTTGTCTCCTAGAAGTAGTGTGTTATTATTATATTCCATTCATCTATACCATGAACAACAGAAGATCAATTTTCAAAATGTAAGTTCGTTTCATAATACAGAATAAAAACTGGGCTTCTCAAAGCACAAGCGGTCTCCATGATATGATTTTAATTTTTATTGGCAAAAAATACCAAAAGCAATTGTGATTAAGTACTCTGCTTCTAAGAGCCCTTCAGATCTGTGAGCCACGATCGTCAGTACATACAAAAGCATGCAATACTGTATTTTCTCCACGCCATTACTAACCCAAACACTTTTTTACTCAAACTTTTAAAAGTTACAATTTTACAGAAATGTTTCCATTCAAGATTCATATAATACAGAGAGCAGTTGTCAGAGCCATTGTCGCTGACATGTATTTCTAGTTGTAAAAAGTAAGGTAGGAAAACAAGTCATTTTTACCGCTTAAAAAATGACTGCCTTGTTTCTGACTCCCATTTCTGCTCAAGTTCCAGATCAACCCTGAACAAAGTTCTTGACACTTCCTAAGAACCGGAGCAGCACAACTGACCTCACCATGCAATTGAGTAGGAACTTAAGACTTTTTTGTGTGTGTGTTTTCTTTTTTTTTGCCCTTTTTCTTGCTTCCACCAGAAGACCCTCAAGAAATCTAACTTGTGAAGTCCCCCGAGGTTCCTATGCTTCACTGCAAAATGTAATGCCACTTGAGGTTGTCAAAAATAGCTTCTGTAGAAAACTGGACATGCTCTTTAGGAAACGTTGCATGAAGAAAATTAGCCTTTATATTTATATATATATTAAAAAGAAGTAATAACACATGGAATAAAAGACATCAGTACAAGTACAAAAAGACTGCAGGACCTAGTGTCAAGAAGAAAATACACTGAGGATTACGAATGCACGGAGCTGGATGAGGGGAAGACCCGGGGAGGTGGACCGTAGAAATTCACCCCTCCCCCAAAATGGAGTCTGTAGTAGAATCCAAGTATTTATCCACTTTGAGAGTTACTTTGAAGGCAGCTTAGAAAATTAAAAAGAGGGCAGAAAGGAGTGAAACAACGCCACTGTCCAAGCCAAAAGGACAGGCTGGGTTGGGAATGTGTACGGTAGGCGAATCTCTTATAAACCAATGCCTTTCAGGTCACAGGGGAGGGTGGCCTGGGTGGCCTGGGGGCTCTGGCAGCAGGGGAACTGAGCCCTAAAGCAGTCCCTCAGCTCTCTGTTGAAAAGGAAGCACACGACAGGGTTGATGCCGGCCTGCGCGAAGGTCAGCCACACGGAGGCCGTCAGGTAGGCCTGGGGGACCGCGCCCGGCCGCACCAAGACCCGCAGGTAACTGGCCACGACGTAGGGCCCCCAGAGGAGCAGGAAGAGCAGCGTGACAGCATAGAACATCTTGCACAGCCTCTTCTCGGTCTTGAACTCCTCAAGCACGAGGAGGCGGCGGGCCCCGCGGCCCGGCCCCGCGGGCCGGATCCCCACCAGTGCCGGAGGCGTGGGCCCGCGGCCGAAGCCCGCCGTCCAGTTGGCGGCCGCCTGGCCAGTGGCGCCAGGGCCGTGGAAGGTCCAGTCGTGGCTGACGGCCGGCACGAGGCGCGCGGGCCGCATCTTACGGCGGTCGTGGATGAAGAAGAGCAGGCGGAGGTAGACGAGGTGTGTGGCGCCCACCACCACGGCCAGCAGCAGCAGGAAGCCGAGGGCCCCGGGGGCGCCGTCGGGGCGCTGCTCCAGGGCGCACGGCGCATCCTCGTCGTCGCCGCCACCGCCGTCCAGCACCGGCGGGAAGGCCGCGGCCAACGCCAGCGCCCAGGCAGCGCACACCAGCATGGCGGCGCACGGCCACCCGGCCAGGCGCTCGGCGTAGAAGCGGTGGTGTGCGATGGCCAGGTAGCGGGTAACGCCCACGCCAAGCAGCAGGAAAGCGGCGTGGAAGCAGAAAAGCGCGGCCAGAAAGGCGAGCAGTTTACAGCCGAGTGCACCCGGCGGTGTTCCCGCAGCAGCCGCGGCCCGCCGCGCTGCCAGCATGACGGCCGGGAGGCAGGCGAGAGCGCGCAGCCCGTCGGCCAGACACAGGTCGAGCAGCAGGTAGTACGGGGCGCGGTGCAAGCTGCGCTCCCGTACGATGAGCAGCGCGAACAGCACGTTGCCTGCCAGGCTCACGCACAGCAGCAGGCTCAGCGTGGCCAGCTTGAGGCCCAGGGCTGCCGCCTCGCCACCGCCACCGCCGCCGCCGCCGCCGCCGGGTTCGCTGGCATTCGCCATCACGGCCTCTCCAGGCCGTGCGCTCCGCCCCGGGGCCGACCTCGACCTCGCCGCTCCCGCAGGCCTCTTGACCCGGCGTCCGCCGCCTTGCGGGCCCCCGGGCAAGCTCGCAGGCCGGTGAGGCTCAACCCGTGCCCGGCCAGTCCCTCCTCGGCTCCCCGAAACGTCGCCGCGCTGCCATCGCCGCCATCTCAGGAATGGTGCGCGCAGGAGGCGACGGCCACTCCCTGCGCCCTGGGCGCCGCGGGCTTCAGTGCGGACAGGGCCGCGGCGCCGCCCGCAGACCCCC